ACACATACTATACACATACCACACATACTATACACATACCACACACATACTATACACATACACACACACACATACACTATATTCACACCACACATACTATACACATACCACATGTACATATACTATATACATATATATACACACAGTATATACATATACACACTACATATACTCTATGCATATACACTGTATACATATATACACACTGTGTATACATATATGCTGGCTGGACATATGGTAACTGCTTATAATCTCTGCATTTGGGAGGCCGATCACCAAAAGTTCAAGGCTAGCCTTGCTTGCATAGTGGGTTCTATGCCAGTTAGGACTAAGCAGTGAGACCCTTCCTCAAAAACTTTAAAAGGGGGGGGGCAGTGTTTTAGTCATAAGAGTGTGTGCTCTGCTCCTGCTCTTCCTGCTCTGCTCCTGCTTCTGCTCCTCTTCCTCCTGCTCCTCCTCCTGCTCTGCTCTTGCTCCTCCTCCTGCTCCTCCTCCTCCTCCTCCTGCTTCTCCTCCTGTTCCTCCTGCTCCTCCTGCTCCTCCTCCTCCTCCTCCTCCTGCTCCTGCTCTTTTAGGGAACCAAAACCTTTGTTTTTTAAATGAGGTTTTTAGACTTCATGTATTTGTGTACATGCATGCATGCAGGCGTTCTAGAAGGCCAGCAGGGGGCAACAGATCTCATCCCACCTGCCCCTGGAATTCAAGAGTTGCCCCAGTGTAAGTGCTAGAAATACGCTCCAGTCCTCTGCAAGAGCAGGGCTCTCCTAACCTCTGAGCCATGTCTGCAGTCTCACCGGACACCTTGTTGTCTTAAGGAGGTTGTCTCGCTGACCTGGAGATAGTTGGCTAGGATCACCAGCCGCTGAGGCCCAGGGAATCTGATTCTTCCCTTCCCAGTCTTTGTATTTCAAATGTGAGCCACCATGCCTGGCTTCCTCACTTGAATTCTAGGAATCAAACATAATGATTCCAGGACAGCCAGGGCTATACAGAGAAACCTTGTCTCAAAAAACCAAACCAAAAACAAAACAAAACCAAAAAAAAAAGCCTACTTTACTTAAGGTACCCTTCTAACCCACCATCCAGAAGTAGTGGGGGAAAGAGGGTTAATAGGAAAAAGGGTCTGGGGACCTGTTTAAAAGTAGTTCCATTCTTCGTGGTCAGGATACCAGCAGTCCAGTCCAATAGCAAACACCAAACATGAATCTGTAGCTGCAGTGCGATCCAGCAGAAACAGTGAAGCTCTGCTGGATGGGCACAAGTCAGTGGAAGCAGCCAGAAGCAGCCATAATGCCACAAGAAGTTCTCTGCACATTTCTCTCTAAAGTAAAGACCAGCAAAGAAGCGAAGCATTTCATGGCGTAGCAATGCAAGAGCATTCTATTCCTTCTCTGTTTGTGCCCACCTGAAGAAAGACCACCTCAAGACTAGCCTGGGCTTATTTGTGAGACCTGTGCCAAAAACAACAAAACATCTAAAATTAAGACATGTTGGTGTTTGTGGTTTTGGGGGGTGGGAATTAGTGTGTTTGCTCCTGTGTCTACATATATGTGGAAGCCAGAGGTCAGCCCTAGGTGGTACTCCTCAGTGACACTCATCTTTGACTTCAGTTCATTGTAACTGAGCTCTGAATGGACTTACTATGTACACCCGGGTGGATTTGAATTCAGAGATCTGCCTGCCTTTACCTCCTGAGTTTTGGGAATAAAAGTGTGAGCCTGCATACAACCTGTTTCAGTTGTCCTTATCTCTCCTTAGCTTACTGCTCAGCCACTGTACACTCACACAGTAGTGCTGAGTGTATACATGTGCACACATTAGTGGTGAGTGTGTACATGTGCACACATTAGTGGTGAGTGTGTACATGTGCACACATTAGTGGTGAGTGTGTACATGTGCACACATTAGTGGTGAAGGGTATACATGTGCACACATTAGTGGTGAGTGTGTACATATGCACACATTAGTGGTGAGTGTACATGAGCACACACATTAGTGTGAGTGTGTACATGTGCACATACATTAGTGGTGAGGGTGTACATCTGCACTCACACAGTGCTGTGTACATGTGCACACACATTAGTGGTGAGGATGTACATGTGCACACACATTAGTGGTGAGAGTATACATCTGGACACACATTAGTGGTGAGAGTATACATCTGCATACACAGTGGTGAGTGTGTACATGTACACACACATTAGTGGTGAGTGTGTACATGTGCACACACTTTAGTGGTGAGGGTATACATGAGCACATACATTAGTGGTGAGGGTATACATGAGCACACACAGTGGTGAGTATACATGTGCACACACATTAGTGGTGAGAGTATACATCTGCACACACATTAGTGGTGAGTGTGTACATCTGCACACACATTAGTGGTGAGTGTGTACATTAGACCACTATCACCTATAGTGATATCACCTGGTCACAGTGGCACACGCCTTTAGTCCCAACACTTGGAAGGCTAAAGCAGGAGGGTTGCGAGTTTGACGTCAGCACGGGCTGCACAGCAGTAAGCTGTCCCAGAAGTCTATGAAGAGCAGTTCCATTTCTTGTAACTTGCCCTAAAGATGTATCTCACAAGTGGGAAAAGGTTTCTGTAGCATTCAGTGTTTGTTTTAGCAATGCTTATAAATAGAATACAACCCACACAAGCAGTGGAATCTACCACCAGGAACTGGTTAACCTGGATACATGAGATTCATACGGCAGAATACTATGTATCACTAGGGAGAAGGAGAGGTTTGGGTGGGCTCCTAAGTACTGGTGTGGACGGGGGTCCTGGGCTTGCATTCTTACCATATCCTTTCTTACAGAGAAGATGCCGAGGGCTGTCCTAGAGACCAGAATGTCTCCTTAGACAAGACCACCACCCAGAGTAGCTTGCTTTCTGTCATAATTCAGAATTGTTTGTCTAAGCTATTCCTTAACAAAACAAGTGCTTGTGAAGGGGGCGGTAGCTCAGTCAGGGAAATGCTTGTCTTGTAGGAATAAGGACATGAGTTTCATCCCCAGAGCCCATTGCCAGGTGGGATAGAGTAGAGGCAGACACAGGCGAACCCCTGGGGCTCACTGGCCAACTGCCTAGCCTACTTGACCAGTTCCAGGCTAGTAAGAGACTTTGTCTCAAAAACCAAGGAACCTGAGGAACATCACCCAAGGTTGAGCTCTGGCCTCCATGTGTGTTTGCAAAACAACAACAAACAACAACACACACACAAAAGAGTCCAAAGTAGCTGATGAACTGGTTTGGGGCTGGTACTGAGACTCAGTGGTAGAGGGGCTGATGGGAGACAACTGAGACACAGATGTAATGACGCAGAACAACTGTTGGATGAAGGCCAGATCGTCGCTGTGACAGGTGAGAGGAAGCACTGGGCTTGCTGGGGCTAGACCGTGGGTGTTCTTGGGTGAGGACATGGTCTTGTGAATATGTGTGAGGAACAGGGCGGACGATGTTGAGCTTAG